ATTTATGTTGAGAGAGTCAACCGCCTTGATCGTAAATGACTAAAACTCAATGAACGTACAATTGAAGTAATTATTCTTATGCTTAAATTAATTGCTTTTTTAATATAACCTTACCAAGACGAAATTGAGAGCAAATGATAAAGCAAATAACAATGTATATAATGTTAGACTATATACATATATAAAAATCTGTCTTATACGAATTCTGATCAAAAAGTCTCGGAACAGTTGCTATGGTAACGCAAGCTGAAGGAAGCTGTTTGGCACAGATTGACTTCGAAATCTGTCGCGCATGCGCACTAAGCTGTAACGTTCGTACCCACTTCCGATGTTTATAGCAGTGCATGGAAAGAAAGTGCGTAGAGTGTGGTCGTTATACCACAGAGGTTCTATCAGTGACCATGGCTTGTACAATATTCCCCGGGTCAGACAACCGCCATATTCCCTAGATCTCGACTTCTTGCAACTTTTTCTTCTTTCCAAAATTCAAATTGACTTGAAAGGAAGACGATTTTAAGATGTCGAGGAAATCCAAGAGAATACGACAAGGGAGGTGTTCGCTATCCTCCAAAAAAGGAGTTCCAAGAATGCTTCCATCAAGGGAAACGACGTTGGATATTGTGTGATGCTTCCGAAGGAGATTAAATGCTGAATTGTTATACGTAGTTTTTTTTTAATAGCACCAGCCCCGATACTTTTCGATCAAACCTCGTATATATATATATATATATATATATATATATATATATATATATATATATATATATATATAGCCGAGTTCGAATTCCAGTCGAATCCATTACATTCACTTACGTGCGAATCCTCTTCTTCTCCCTCCAGTCATGGGTTCTATAGCCTTGGATGGCAACTGGTCTACGAGAAGGACATCTGTGAATTCAAAACCTGCGGAGGGTCGTTTGGGGCCCTTGTGGCACGTAGTGCACCAGGTCTCAGTATTCTGCTCTTCAAAAAGTGTGGATGGTCCTGCAAGTAACCTTCACCACTATAATCAAATGTGCCGTTGTCGGGCTGTCGTTTTCCTGGGAACTGATCTGCTTGACCCTCATACGTCGAGTCGACTGGGAGAGATAGTATATATATATATATATATATATATATATATATATATATATATATATATATATATAATAAATTTATTGGTCAGAGTTAAATTAGACCAGGAAAGAGTAGTATTAAAAAATTAGCTTAATATATGTATAAACAAAATAAAATAAAAATAAAAATTTAACATGCAGAGCATTTAAATTTGAAAAAAATTGGGAGGTCAGCTGATCACGCAACATTGGTTTCAACCCTTTAATATCTTCGATCCAGACTAAATAATTTCTAACGCTTTTATAATTTTAAAATCAATAAATAAACGGACAACGCAAAGCGTAATAAAACAGGACGAGAAAATCAAGGGTATTCAAAGTGTATCAAAGGGGAGGGGGCGGTTACATGTAATGTACATGTTTTCATTCTGGTTCAAACAGAGTCCAAAAGGAATTTTTGTGTGTGTAAGCATCGCGCCATTATTTCTGATCTTTCATCAGAAGGTTTTATACATATATATATATATATATATATATATATATATATATATATATATATATATATATATATATATATATAGTGGTTTATGTAATCACATCATTAATCATACTTATTATAAAACCCAGGTTGTATGTGTGTGTGTGTCTGTACGTTTTATATATTGGATCGCATTTCCTACATTTTTCAACCGATTTCAACAAAACTTAACAGGACTGTGTAAAATTACCTTGCGGTGGTTCTGACAGCGCCAAAAATTGGAAAACACAATTGTTTTTGCATGAAATCAATTTGGAACCACGATTAAGAGGCATTGCGAGAATGAAAGGGGACAACTCATATCGAGTTATACTTATTATAAAACCCAGGTTGTTTGTGTGTGTGTGTGTGTGTGTGTGTGCGTGCGTGTGTATATGGGATCAGATTTCCTACATTTTCAACCGATTTCGACAAAACTTCACTTTTTTTTGGCAGGTAGTGTTTCTTATTGCTTGCACTTTTTTTCTTTATTTTTACATTCAGAATGCTTTAAAATTCCATTTACAAGACAATTGTTTATAATAAAATTCTATTCAATCGATAGACTCCTAACGATTGAAAACAATGTTTTTGTTTGAGTTTGGGTTTGACCAATTCGTAAAAAAACAAAACAAAAAAAAAAAAAATTAAGACATGCGTGTCCGTCAACCTTAAACAATAATCTTTGTCAATTTTATTTTTCAGTCTTTATGATGGTCGATACTTGATCTATCTCTTACTGTTACATCCCCGGGCAACGCTATACTGCTAGTATATAAATAAAAGTAATTGTTCACTTATCTTGTTTCACGGATATTACATTCGCTCGCCAAGTAATCTGATTTCAAAATTTTTTTACAATCAAGTCCTCCTGACGAGTGGATATAATATCCACTAAACACAAACGCCGGTCTTCTTCACAAGTTGAAAGGTTATGGTATATCTGGGCGAATTTTTTTTAACATATTCAGTCTTTCTTATTAAATCACGAAATGAATATCGCCCTGAACGGCCACTCTTCTATATTTTTGTATTAATGCAGGTGTCCCCAAGCGCTCTATCATTGAACCTAAATTTTCATCGCTGACCTTACTGATTGCATCAGTTCTCAACTCTACATATTTCTTGTTTTGAACATTGCTGCTACATCTGGTCTGGTGCTCCTGATATATATTTAAAAATTCTTGATATTATCCAAAGAAGAATCGGCAATATCATTGGTACTGAACTGACATCTCATCTTCAGTCCCTGTTCCAACGCATTAACCTAGCTAGCTTCCTTGCTAAGCAGAGTATTAAGAGACAGAAAAACTTCGTTAAGAGAAAGAATACTGAACTGTTACGTGATATCTTTCTTCCTATATAGCAGTGAATGCAGAACAGACTCTTCAAAGATGAAGAAGAGACTTGAAGCAACAGAAACTTAGTTGTACAGAAGGATGGACCAAACATGTGAGCAAGGACGAAGATTTAGAAAAGATGGAAACAAAAAGGAATCTTATATTTAACATCAGGAAGAGACAGTTGAAATTTCTACAGAAGGATGCTGTGGATACCATGACCGAATATGTGAGCAAAGACGGAGTTTTAGAGAAAATGGAAACAAAAAGGAAACTTATACTTAACATCAGGAAGAGACAGTTGAAATTTCTGCAGAAGGATGCTGAGGATACCACATCAACGAAGAGACAGTTGAAATTTCTGCAGAAGGATGCTGAGGATACCATGAACCGAATATGTGAGCAACGACAAAGTTTTAGAGAAAATGGAAACAAAAAGGAAACTTATACTTAACATCAGGAAGAGACAGTTGAAATTTCTACAGAAGGATGCTGAGGATACCATGAACCGAATATGTGAGCAACGACGACGTTTTTTCTAGAAGGAAATACTAGGGATGGAAACAAAAGGAAAATGGAAACAAAAAGGAAAATTATATTTAACATCAGGAAAAGACAGTTGAAATTTCTACAGGATGATGTTGAGGATACCATGGACTGAATATTTGAGCAACGACGAGGATATTGAGGAAAAATACTTAACACTTGGAAGAGACAGTTGAAATTTCTGGAGCACGTAATGAGGAAGGATGCCTTGGCAAATCTGATACTCACAGAACAGTTTGATGTACAGAGGAAAAGAACGCATAACATAATTGATGGGCTTGAGTTAATGGATGGCGAAACAGGCTTTAAGAGAAATAACAAAAAGACAAAATTTATTAAGAGCTACAAAGGACAGGAAATTGTGGAGAGCCATGATCGCCTACATCCAGAAGGTACATGACACATAAAGAAATAAAATGAGCTCGAGTAAATGAATAATGGAATAAGATTTAGGAGAAATAACAAAAAGACTAAAATTTATTAAGAGCTACAAAGAACAGGAAATTGTGGAGAGCCATGATCCCCTACATCCAGAAGGATCATGGCACATAAAGTAGAAAAATAAGCTTGTGTAAATGGATGGTGGAACAGGGTTTAGGAGAGATAACAAAAAGACAAAATTTATTAAGAACTACAAATGACAGGAAATTGTGGAGAGCCATGATCACATGCATCCTGAAGGGAGACAGTATATAAAGAAGTAAAAGTTAATGTTAGCCTTGCGTAAATAATGTTCTGAAGCCAACTTTTTCTCTTTTCATGTCCGATCTCCGTTGGCTTAAGTCAAAACTTCGCATGAGTGAACCAAAGTGAAATTTCAATCGGACAGGTTCAGTGAGAAATTGATTTGACCGCTTTTATGTCGTTGAAGACCAGACGCATTCATATATTCTGAAGTGTTCGGATTATTTTCTTAACTTTTAATAGCGCTATCGTTCCTAAATCGTCCCGGTGATAGAAATGACGGTCGTATAAGAATCTGTGAGAGGAACGGTCGTTGCTTAGCGTCCATTTTTATTTTCGTTATGTCTAAGATGGTGGGAGAAATCGTTTTTATATGTAGCAGTTTTCGGTGGCGTCCACTTACAAATGGTATTGCTAGTTGAAGATGACAGCTTCTTAAATCATCGCCTTTCCCCAGTTCTCCAGCGCCGATATACAATCTTCTTTTGCGTTTGTGGGAGTAAAAATGAATAAGAGGCAAACTATGGACAAACTAGAGTGAACTTGAGCGAATGAGTTGAGATTGTGCGGTAGAAGGGTTTTTTTTTTATTATGGCATTGATCGCACTTAAGGTTTGTAGATGGCAGAAAGGGTGGCTGGGAATGCATGCTGTACGGGGTTAAAGAAGGCAGTTGATCAAATCAAAACATTAAGTTGCTCCCCACTCCGCCACCATCCAATTCAACGATCCAGGGATAAATTTAAAGAGACAAGGAGAAAGGTTGAAGATTAAGAAAATGTGAAGGAATATTACGGAACGAAAAAGAAAATAAAAGGTGATATTAAATAATTTCTTTCACTATCAGCTTTTATTTTCTTTAGACGAGCAAAGAAGAAAGAGAAGAAATTTGGGATAAAAGTGAAAAAAAAAAAAACAGGAAAGAATTGAGAAAGAGAAAATAGGAATGGAAAATGAAAAGATGAGAAAGATGTAAGAATATTATGAATTCGAACGAAACGTTAAAATTGAAAGAAAACGAATAAATTAGAAAGAAGAAAGAAAATGCAAGAAAACAGACGAACAAGAAATTCTAGAAAAGAATGAAAAACGAAGAAGAATTGAGAAAGGTGAAATTGTAAATGAAAAAAACAAAGCGAAAGAAAAAAAATGAAGAGCAGGCAACATTATGAAAAGAAGAAAAAAGGTGAAATGAATAAAGAAGAAGGAAGGGAAAAATTCTAGAGAAGAATGAAAAAATTGGGAAAGGAGAAATTTGAAAAAAAAATGAAAAATAAAAAAACGAAAGAAAGAAAATGAAGCATTATTATGAAAAGAAAGAAATAAAATTGAAGGAAAATGAATAAATTAGAATTAAGGAAGACAGAAGAGAAAGAAAGAAGAACTACTACAGAAGAACGAAAAAAATTAGGTAAGGAGAAATTTGATCGAAAAATGAAAAAAAAAACACGAAAAAATGAATGAAAATGAATCCTTATTACAAAACGAAAGAATCTAAATTGAAAGAAAATGAATAAACTTGAAACAGAGAAGGTAGAAAAGAAAGAATATATGTTCTAGATAAAAATTTAAAAAGAACCAATTGGAAAAGATGACTTTTGAAAGAAAAATGAGAAATAGGAAAAAATAAAGAGAAGGATAGAAGAGGATGGAAAAGAAAAGATGAAACGTTATATAACAACAATAACAGCAAGATGATGTAAACAGAGGAGAAAGAAAGAAAAAAGAGAGAAAAAGAAAGAAATTGAGGAGAAAGAAAGAAAAAAGAAATAAACTGTGGAGAAAAAAAGAAAGAAGAAAGAAAAAAAAAATTGAGGAGAAAAAAGAAATAAACTGAGGTGAAAGAAAGAACAAAGAAATAAACTAAGAAGAAAAAGAGAAAGAAAATAAAGAAAAAAGAAAGAAAAGGAAATACACTGCGGAGTAAGAAAGAAAAAAAAGAAAGAAAAAGACAAGGAAATAAACTGAGGAGAAAGAAAGAAAAAAGAAAGGAAAAAGAAATAAACTGAGGTGAAAGAAAGAAAAAAGAAAGAACAAAGAAATAAACTAAGAAGAAAAAGAGAAAGAAAATAAAGAAAAAAAGAAAGAAAAGGAATTACTGCGGAGTAAGAAAGAAAAAAAGAAAGAAAAAGACAAGGAAATAAACTGAGGAGAAAGAAAGAAAAAAGAAAAAATTGAGGAGAAAAAAGAAATAAACTGAGGTGAAAGAAAGAAAAAAGAAAGAGCAAAAAAATAAAATAAGAAGAAAAAGAGAAAGAAAATAAAGAAAAAAGAAAGAAAAGGAAATAAACTGAGGAGAAAAAAGAAAGAAAAAAATAAACTGAGGAGAAAGAAAGAAAAAAGCGAAAAAAGAAATAAACTGGGGAGAAAGAAAGAAAAAAGAGAGAAAATAGAAATAAACTGAGAAGAAAGAAAGAAAAAAGAAAGAAAATAAAAATAAACTGAGGAGAAAGAAATAAATAAAAAATAAACTGATGAGAAAGAAAGAAAAAAGAAAAAGAAAAAGAAAAAGAAATTAAGGAGAAATAAAGAAAGAAAAAAAGAATGAAAAAGAAGTACACTAAGAACGGATGAAAAAGTAAAAGAAAGTTCAAAATGAAAAAAGGAAGGAAGGAAGCAAGCAATCAAGGAAGGAATGCCACTAAAACGCAAGGGGTTACTAGTAGTGAAATAAAATGAGAAAACTTTAGGAGAAAGAAGCGGAAAGAAGCGGAAACTCAATTTTAAAAAGAAGAAACAAGGGATAAAACTCTACTCCTGTTCAAAAAACAGTGACGAGGTAAGAAGAGAACGAAAAAAACGAAAAAATAGAAAGGAATGAAAGAATAAGCTGGTTAATAACTTTAGTTCGTAAAAAGATACGAAGGAAGGAATAAAAGAATGAATGAATAAATGAATGAAGGAATGTTGGTGATCAATGAAATCGAACGCCGGAAATTAGAAAAGGCGAAGGAACGAATGAAAAGAGAGAATTTAAACAAGAAAGACAGAAGGAACACAGTTGTTCCGAAAGAAAAAAAAATGAAGGAAGATAGAAACACTGTAAATCAATGATGACAATAAAGAGGAAAAGAAACGAAAAGAAGAAAAGTAAGAAGAAAAGAATACAGTAAAACTCTCAGCGCGGAAAAAAATGGGGGAAAAAAGTGGATATAAAATTATATATGAAAGGATTTGAATAAAATAGCCGAGAGATAACATGAAACAAGGAGGAGGAGGCCGTAAAAAACAAACAAACAAAAAAGAACTGAGAAACAAGCAAATTTCAGGAAAAAAAAATGGAAAGGCAGAAGATCGATTTGGAATGAACGAACGAGGACAGACAGCGGCGTAAATTCGGTAAGAAAACTAGACAAAGAATCCATTAAAGAAAATTTATCTGAATATACTGATACGCATTCTCGGATTTTGAATAAAACAAGCGAGGGATCAAGCGGGAAGTGGATTTTATTATTTTCCAAATCTAATAATATAATAAAATTGAAAAAAAACTAAGGAGTGATAGAGATTAGTTTACAATTTAGCTTGTTTGAATGAAGGAATGGTATGCAAGTTATTTAACGGGAGTTTAAACAGATTTCTTCAATATCAAAATTTTTTTTAACAGAAATCGATATAAAAATCACAAAATATTTGTTCTTGGTCTTTCATTTAATATTCTCGGGCATATAAGAAAAAAAAACACATTTTAAATAGTTACATTTATATTAAACTAAAGAAAGTTTTGTAAATCGCCATTTGCAATATGTGCTATTTTTTTTCCATGGCTACACATGGATTTATCCATTGCTACATGGAACTTTTGCAATCGATGTTTTTCGTGGATTTCTTTTTACAATCTTTTTCATGGATTTTTCTATGGATTTTTTCCATGTCTACATTTTTTCAAGGATGTTTTTCCATGCATTTTTCCATAGCTACATAGCTCACACATGGATTTTCGCCATCCCTACATGTGATCTTTCATGAATTTTTCCATGCTTTTTTCCATGGCTTCATAATTGCACATGTATTTTCTCCATGTTTAACTTGGATTTTTTCCAGGGATTTTTTCAAAAATGTTTTTCTATGCTCTTTCCATGGCTACATAGCTTACTCATGGATTTCTCTATGCCTACATGGGATTTTTTTCATGGATTTTCCATGCGTTTTTCCATACCTATACGGATAGATAACTAATTTTGTTAATTTTCTATAGCTATACAAATTCAAAATATTATAAATCACTAACAGCCATACTGAACTGTTCGATCAGAAAAAGCGTTCAATTAGAATGGAGCAAAAATAGCATCATGTTTAGATGTAACAGAGTCTATCTTCTTCAATTACTTTAAAATACTTTCATTAAAAAACATTTTGCATTAATGCAGTTACTGATATAAGAGAAGTAGTTTGTATTTATTTAATCAAAGTTAGCCAAGGACATGAAGCGGTAAAACAGGCAACATGAAGACCCACTTCAGATCACAATTATTTTGGAGTTTTTGAAATTCAATTAGTCAGTGTGCTACCAGGGATGTAAAGGAGGATACATTTATAAAACAATTGTTAAGTTTGATGAAAATTGGTTGAAATATCAACGAAAAATAAGAATGTATCCTGTAAAAATCGCCATTTTTCGCTATTTACGCGAGATTTCACCATATGGGTGGACTCATTTATCAAGGTAAATGACTGTTAAACAATCAACTTATTGTTGGCTTCAACTGAGTGGATTTTGTATTAGACTGCTTGAAAATTGAGGGAGTTTTTAGTTTAAAATTCGTGTCAAATCGAATTTTCGTTTTTCGCGGTTGTTCGCTAAACGCAGTATCGTAGAAATAAAAATGAGGTATTGTTGTGCTCGTCGTTATGTAAGTAACCTACATACTGAATTTGAACGTTATCGGAGGAAAAGGTTGAATTTATCGATTTCTTGATCGGCTTTACCGATTATTGATTTTTTAATAAATTATCGATTTTTCTCTAAGAACCTATCTCTTACATTGTACAATGAATGTCCCAAGTTTGGTCAAAATCGGTTGGAGGGATTTTGATTGAAAAGGTATCACACAGACAGGTAGACAATCACACAGACATCCTCTGTTTTAGATATATAGATCATAACAATGTGGTTTTAATTTTAAGTGTCAATCTTTGTCTTTATTGAAACTAAGCTTAAAGTTAGAGGAAAACAAGCAAATAAGTTAAACTCAAAAAAGACTTGTGGAGAAGGTACTGTGAGAAATCAAACCTGTCAAAAGTGGGAAAACAATAAAATATTAGGAATTAGGAAGACCAAAAATTGAATTTAACTTCTTCAATGTTAACTGGGAGGCAAGAACCCGGAATTCCACAAACAAGTATTCCAAGAGAAGAAACTATTATCATAGAACTTACGGTTCCATCTGGCCATTTATGCTCGGCCCGGTGGCTAGGATCAAAGTGTAGTATCTGCGCTTTGTGAGCTGCCGGGTCGGGTGTCTGTCGAACTCTCTGCTTGCAGAGAGGAACCCAGACGAAGCTCCGCCGAAGGGTGGGGTTTCGTTGGGGAGGTTGACAGAACTGGCCCGCCTCGGCAGGTTTGGATAGTTATTTATTTTGGCTGGGCCTACGGGCTCAGAGATACCCACATTAAAAAGGCCTTGTGCCACATTCGATCCCCGTGGGTGGATTGATAAATACCATCTGGCCATTTATGTTGTAAGACCTAGCTGCCAATCTAGTACTTAGCATAGTTTCGTAAAGTCCAGGTACCAAAGAGGAAAGCTCATCCGAACAATTACTATGAAAGTATTTGTGGAAAAGGCACAGCAAAGCTACATTACGGCGGTGGGAAAGTGACTGAATCCGAGATGCCAGGTTAGGACTGATAACATTGCAGATTCTTCTTGGGATTTTATTAAGGATTTGTAACAGAAACAGTAGACTATATGTGTTGGCAATGTTCATTGCATTGTGGAATTAATCAGTTTTCTTCTACCTCAACGATTTTACCTCGAAATAACCGTGCAATGCATGTTTCTAATGTCCATAATTTTGTAATTCTTTTTTTTATTATAGATCGTTATGTATTGTTGCATACTTCGAACCTATCTCTTACATTGTACATTGTATGTTCCAAGTTTGGTCAAAATTGGTTGGATGGATCTCGAGTGAAAAGGCAGGCAGACAGACAAACAGACATCCTCTGTTTTATATAGAGAGATTATTTAAATATTCAAGTTTTGTTTAGAATCCTAATCCAGCTTACTTGCACCATTAACTACTAAATGCAAATTCGTTTCTCTCTGGGTGCTTTACATTTAGAATTTTGTGTTGTAACTATTTTCGCTAGACGGACCGGAATAAAAATTGCCCCATCCTCTCAACCAAGTGTTACGTATGTCAGAATATTCCTCAAAATAAGCGTACAAAGCATGTTTCTAATGTCCTTAATTTTGTAATTATTTCATTTTATTTTATTTTTTTACAGATCGTTATGTATTTTTGCATACTGCGAAAAGGCTTTAATAATGTTGAAGTTTCACACTCGACGAGAACTTGCTGGATTCTATCTATGAAAATCCTATCGTTGTTTGCTTGCTGTCAGAGAAGTAAGGTTTCCACTTTTAGTTTTTGGCTCTGCTGGTTCGACTCCTTGAAAAATTTCGACCAGAATCTCTTCAGAAAGATCTGCTGCATCGAATTCTCTTTCTTTTTTTTCACACAAATGTCATTCAGAAAAGCACGAATTATCTCTTTTTTTTCCCTGGTTAAATAGCTGGATAGGCTGGGCTCTCAAGCCTTAGGTAGCGATTACTCTAAGAGAAGGACAACTTTGAATTCAAAACCGTGAAGAGCACAACGTGAAAGAAGTTCACTATTATTCACAAGAACGATCTCCCCGATGTCATCAGTTCCCAAATAGGCATCTATGCTGACAACACTACTATTTACTCCTGCCTCAATAGCAAGTCTGGTATCGCTGACAAAACTAACCTGGCCGTTAGTCTTGAAAAGGACCTCCAATCGGTTGTAGAATGGGAGAGGAAATGGCTGGTTAATTTGAATGCCTCTAAAACAAAACTGCTCTCTATTACTCACCACAGGGAAGCATCCCTGCCTACCATTGGAATGTCTGATGCTCAACTTCACGAGAGCCGCTCTTTGCGACTGCTTGGTCTCACATTATCCGCTGACCTGAGATGGAACAATTACATTGAATCAATTGCTTCATCTACCGCAAGGAAAGTTGGTTCCCTGTGTCGCGCCAGAAAGTTTTTTCTCGCACGAGTCTATCCTTCAAAATTGGTTGGATGGATCAACCATTCGCCCTTTTGCATGGAATACTGCTGCCATATATGGTCTGTTCGCCTTAAGGTCCTCGACAAAATTCAGAGACGGATAAGCAATGTGATTGGTCCTGATCTAACATCTCCCCTGCAGTCGCTCTCTCACAGATGTGCCGTCGCCTCCCTCCGTTTTTTCTACAAATACTTTCACGATAACTGCTCCGTCGAGCTACTTTCGCTAATTCTCAGACTGCATGGATTTAAGCGTGCTACTAGGCTGGCATCACGGTCCCACCCTTTAACTGTCGAAACGGTTCTTCTACTCCAATAGCTTCATGTCTCGCACCTTCAGTCTGTAGAATTCCCTTCCTATTACTTGTTTCCCTGATAGCTATAATCTCCAACTATTCAAATGTAATGTCAATCGACATCTCCAGATGACTTTATTTATTCCCTATCCTTCTCTTCATCCTTTCCTCTATCATGCCTCTTTGCTCTCCACTCTCTGTAACCCCTTGCGTGCTAGTGGTATCCCGTCTTGCTTTGGGTGAAATGCTTAAAAGAGCATCTGTAGGCTGTCATGATCGCCTTCGTCCTGAGAAGGAGGTATGGATTTTTTTTTAAACACAATAAAAGAAACTATAATTCTTCGTTATTTTAGTCCGAAAAATAGAACCAACACTACATCAGCTGCCGGCATTTATGACATAAAAGTCTACAATGTAGGAAAAGCTATATAGGCGAAACATCTAGGAATCAAAGGCGCGCATCTGCGAACATAAGGGAGACCCAAGTTAGGAGAACGCTTGAAATTTACTCTACATAGTAACAAAATAGGCCATAACTTCGATTTTATGTATACCACCCAAATTATAATTTGATTGATTCGATTGCTGCGGCTCGTCAACTCTTTGCAGGTTATTTAAAGTCAGAAAATATTTTTAGATT